AGTTTTATAATTTATTAGTATTTATGATTTTGATTTCTTAAACTTAATTATTATTTTTAATATTTATAATTTATATTAAACTCTCAAAATTTATAATTATTAAATATGTTTATTTGTATATTTATAAATTTTATTTATTATTTTTTAATTTTTAAATTTTTTAATTTTTACTTTTTTATATTTATTTATTATTTATTAATAATAAATTATTTCATCTATAGATAAATTGTCAAGATCGATCACCTTATATGATTTTACAATACCTGTATATCCTTTGGAGAAAAAGAAGAAGATAATAAATAAATAAATGATTTATTTGATTTAAATTCTAGTTGATTTTGTATAAATCCTAAGTATTGTCGTACTTCATCTTCAGTATAAGAAAAGAAAATGAATTTTCTTGTGTATTTTTTTTAATTTATCTTTGATGCCTTTATCTTTAAATTGGTAAAATTCAGTCTTTCAATTTTTAAAACTTTTTTATTTATTATTTTTATACTTAAATTTACTTTTTAATAATAATTTTTATTTTGACAAAAAAATGAATTTGATTTGTTTTTTTTTTTACATTTAAAATGGATATTTAGTAATATATTTTTATTGCTATAAAATTGAGAAAATAATTAAACTAATATATCTTTAAATTTAAAGGATAAAATAATTCATTTTTAAAATATAAAATTCAAAATTAAATATGACAAAAAATATATTTAAAAAAATAAAAAATATATATGGATAAGCTCTTTTAGAATAAAAATGAAAATAGCTTAATTACATAAAAAAATAATATTTTATTTATTAAGTTAAAAATATTATAAATAAACAAATTAATTATTTCATCTTTATTTATATAAAACTATTATTTCTCTAAAATCTATACTTTTAACTTTTTCTATAAAAGTTATAAGTTTTTTTTTAATCCAAGCTCATTATAATATAATTGGAAAAGAGTAAATCATTCTTAATATTCGAGTAAAGTACGTCCTTTTTCTCGTCTTCTTTTACATTGGTTTGCATGTAGTACTTATGTTGTATGCGAGTAGCGGATCTTAACCATTAATCTTGGAAGGTCAAATAATATATTATTAAAAAATAAATATAAAATGAATTAAGAAGATGAAAGGGTGAAAGGATAAAATTGTAAATATATACTTAAATATATTAAATGATTATTAAGTTTGAGGGGAACAAAATCATAAATTATATGAAAGTTACAAAATTAATGAGGGGTTGAGAGGATAAAATTGTAAACATACAAGTAAATATATTAAATGTTCATTAATTTTGGAGGGCCAAAATTATAAATTACATGGGAGTTACAAAACTTTGGAGGGACCACGACCCCTCGACTCCAAGAAGATCAGCCACTAGTTGTATGCATGTGACTCTTTTACTGAGAAAAGATGGCTCTTTCTTAATCTAGCCTCGTAATTATATTTTCGGTTTGATATTAAGATTTATCTAATCAAGTTTGGTTTTCTATATTAATTAATAGTTTTTTGAGTTTTTGACTTGGATAGTTACATTATTTTTAGGTAAAGAAAGCTAGACCGACCATTCTTTCGTACATTAGGGTAAAATAACTGAATGTATTATGATGTTATATGGTCACAAGTATTTGCTTTATATTATGATGTTATTTAGTCACAAGTATTTGCTTTATAGGAATTATGTTTTATGTGATACAAAATATGTTTTTCATTTAGAATGTATCATGTGTATTCTAGTGAATGATTGATTTGTAGATATAAACATTGGTTGGAATTGAATTAATTTCATGATTTTAATTTGTTGTTTCAAGTTAGAAAAATAGGTAAGTTTAGGATGATTTCTATATTGGACATGAGATTATGACACTTTTATTCTTAGACGAAATATCGACGTCCAGCATGGTACCGAGAGTGTTGGGAACACAAATGTAATACAAACGAAAGTAAATAATAAGAACATAAGAAATTTACGTGATTCAGTCAGAGTGACCTACGTCCATGATTGTACTAGATGATAGTTCTTATTCACACAATTAGGTTTACAATTACATGAATATTTATAATAAAATAATAAGTAAATGGGTCAGACCCAATAATCTTTTAGACTCCACATACTTAATAATAATTGTTAAAAAATACAAGTGTGATTCTAAGTCCCATATTAGGTAAATGAGAAAGTTGAATAACAAATAAGGAAGTATGACCCATAACATAATGTCTTAAGATTTTGAGTCGAAAGTGGTGTCAATCCTTATGTGGGTTGAGCTCATGTCTTATTGATGTTGTTCTCCCCAATGAATCTCCCTCGAAAGATCCAACAAGTGGTATAAGAGTCATGAGTTCAACCCACATAAGTGATTGAAACCACTCTCAACCCAAAATCTTAAGACATTAGGTTATGGGTCATTGCTTAACTTTTTCATTCTTAGTCAATGTGGGACTTAACTCACACTTGGATATCCAACAGAGAGTAGAGTATGGCTTCACAATATACCCCTTAGTCCTTAATTGATAAAATTATGTTACGATACGCTCATGAGTCTCACATTGGTTAGGAGTCGAGATCAATGATAGTTTATATATAATCTCATCTCTCAATCCACCAATACATCTTTTAAGTCATGAGTCCAACCCACATAAGTGATTGACATCACTCTCAACCAAAAACCTTAAGACATTAGGTTATGGATCATTGCTCAACTTTCTCATTCTTAGTCAATATGAGACTTAACTCACACTTGGATACCTAACAGAGAGTAGAGTCTGACTTCATAATATATTCCTTAGTCCTCAATTGAGGAACTTATATTCCAATACGCTCATGAGTCTCACATTGATTAGGAGTCGAGATCAAGGATAGTTTATATATAATATCATATCTCAATCCACCAATACATTTTTTAAGGATAAAAATGTGACGAATAAGAGCTCCAAAGCATTTATTACCTGGGATATGAAAATTGACCCTAACAATACTATCATAGCGGACATGAGACCGGAACACTCTCATTCTTTGACAGAACAAGGCTCTTACAAAAATTCTTATATTCAGATATCCTATATATTTATTAGGTCATCTCACTCAATATCAATTAGTATTAATTTAAAATATAACATGATATCAAAGTCTATAACTCTTCTTACTCATAATTTAAATTGACTCATAATACTTAATATACTATTTACAGAATAATAATTTCTAAAGAAGACTTATTTTAAATTCACAATAGAGAAATATATGTCTAAGATAACCTAGGGTATATAGAATTGTTTTGAAAAGAAGAAAAAAAAGGTGAATATTAGAAATAGATTATTACACCGAGAGAGGAACCTATTTTAATCCCAAGAAAAAGATTGGGGCTATGAATTCATCCAACTTAACAAGTATGAAAATTCTTCCTTGTATATATCAATATTTTTGGTAGGTGTTCATTTATGAAATCAGGAACTTCATGATGCTCTCAAACTATGTTCTGGATGTTTCTAGGATGAAAAATACACTATTGTAACTTTCTAAAGACACTTGGTTTGAAATATGATATTCATTGGTTGGACCAAGAGGGTTTATGGTAATTTCTTTTCGACACATTGCAAAGAAGATTTTGAACTTCTTGTTTCAATGAAGAAAAACTTGAGCATTTTTAAATTTTATTATTTTCTTGATAAATAATGTATTTAACATGTTTTCATTAAAAATATAATTTAATTTAATTTTTCTTAATTTGTTTTATTTTGTATAATTTTAGCATCAAAATGTACATTCATACATCCACAATACATATTTTTTTTCTTTTTTTTTAGGAGAAAGATAATTTGAGATGAGTCAAATTGATGATGGAAATAAAAACCAAAATTCATAACAAGAATCATGTGTAGCCGAGCTTTACTCTTCTCAGAAGCCCAAGTTTGATTGTGTAGTCCACTTGCGCATGCATGTTACTATTGCAAGAATGACCTGAATTGAATTAAAGGTCACGAGAATCCAATAATTAAATACAAATCAGTACTTGATAAACTTAGATAAGGAAAGAATCTGAATTGCTTCAATCAATCTCATAAATTTCTTGTCACGCAATAATCCAATACTGCAATTTTTAATTGAAGAAATATTTGATTTTATTATAATTAATTCAATTATTATTTTCTCTTTATCAATCTCCTATAAATAGAGACCCGATGATAGTAGAAAAACACAAATTCCTTCGCGGAGTGAGAACTACGATTTTGTCCCATTCTCAATTTTTTTTCTCATTCCATTTCCAATTTCCTTTAATTTAGTTTCTAATTTGACGAACTTAGTTGGATCTACTGCAACTCTTTTCAATTTGTTCTATTTTATTATTTAATTTACAATCTCTCATGAATTTTCTAGTTTTATATTATTGAATTTGCTTTATTCGTTCTACGCTCAATTTAATTATTGTTATTTAATTATTTAGAATTTGTATTTAGTTATGTACATAGTAGATACAATACTTTGAGTCATCATGACTATCTAGATACATTATTCCCTTTTATAACATCATTTGTTCTTATGTAAATAACACAATCATAATAGTCAAGTCTAACGTATAAGAAAATAAGTTAAGTTAAATATTAACGTGATAAATTACCCAATCATTTATACACCATGCACCAAATACTAACATATTTTATTTCCATACACCCTTTCATATACATCACTTTTGCCACAAAATAACTATTGCAATTAGACATCTTTCTAAAGACTAGCACTCATTAGTAGGAAACACATTTAACATCGATTATTTGATGTATACTACATTGATTTCACAACTCATGTAGAATCAGGCGATGTAGAAAGTGAATAATTTTCTACATCAGTTCCATAATACTCGATGTAAAAAAGGAACATACTTGGAAAGTTAATAGATGCATTACAACACATTGCAATGTGCAGAGGTTCTTCCTATTATGGTGGTGGCTTGTAGAGGTCCTAAATGTTACGGTGGTGGCCCGTGAAGGTGTGAGTGATACGATGGTGGCTCGAGAATGTGTGGGTACTACATTGGTGGTTTCGTTGCTGTTGGAAAATTGCTACCATTGGCATTGGTGAAACAGGAGTGGAGTAGTGGCAAAACATGTGTGGAGCAATGGTATTGCATTGGAGGTAGCACTACAAATAAAGGATAAAGTTTTTGTTAGTAGCTTGCAATGGTGATAACATTTAGTGGTGGTTCACAAAGGTCCTAATTGCTATAATGGTGACTTAAGGATGTGTGGGTATTATGGTGGTGGTCTCGTTGTTGTTACCAAACTATTGTTGTTGGCATTGGTGAAATAGGTAAGGAACAGTGGTAGAATAGATGTAGAGCAATGTGAAGTTGTGAGAAGACAAACAAAAACAATTTTGTTTGAAAATAGTGGACGCATGTTAAAATTGAGTTTCTACATCAATTGTTGTAATAACCAATATAGTATACAAGATACTACATCTTTTCCTATGTGAACCAATGTTGTATTAGCACTACATTGGTTGCTACAATGCAAAAGGTTCTTTATTATTTACAATTTTGTCATTACTCGATGTTTTACATTAAGTCATTAGTAATCGATATAATATGTCATCAAATTCATTGGTCACACTAATGACTATGTCATAAACTCAGAGAGTAGAATTTATGTGTTACATTGTAAGTGATATTGTACTAGATATTTCCTCACTATGATATCATTCTAGTCATCCTACAAGAAATATAGAACTATTGACCATACTACTTGTCCTGATATCTCTCCTATAGTTTCAAGTTAAATATTTAATAATTCCCCATCAACTTTTCACAACCTAATACCTTACTCTACATAATTAGGATTATTAGTGGAACCTGAAATTTCATCGATCCACATAAATATAGTTACCACACTACATATTACATAACCTCTTCACACACCACTATCATTTATAGACAACACATATCTAACTCAACTTATTGGAGGCACCAACTTCAAGCTCAACTTATTCGAGGCACCAACTTCAAGCTCAATACATCCCACATATAACTTTAGTCTCAACCCTTTATTGTTATGTCACTTATTTCATTCACATACATAAATATATTGTTTAAGTATCCTTTAAACATGTAAGTGATGTATTTCTAAATTCAAACTTATAATTTTATCTCTTCTTTACTTGAGCGATAAAGTTATTTTACTTCAACTTCCTTGTATTAATCTTTTAATCGTTATAATATAAGCTTTTATTTTCATTTCATCCACTAAAGTATATGTATTTGATTTTGTTTTTCAATATCCACAATTATATTCTACAATAAATAACATGTCATTTAGATATTATGATTTTTTTTACATTTAACTAATTTTTATTTGTTCTTTTCTCATTTTATCAATTATTAGTGATGATTTTCCTTTTATCAATGCTAAAAAATATTTTAATTTAATAAATTTTAAATTCATAATTTACTTTCAAAAATATATCAATGTCGTTTACATTTTTTTTATCAATAACAAATTTAAACGATAAATAACATTGACGTGAACACAAAATTTGACAAAAGCTAATAGCCACTTTCATGGATTGCGGTTCATGGTTTACCTTTCTCCAATAGACACGTGTTACGGTACTATAAGTCTCAAATTGCTTAGGAGTCAATGTTAATGGTAGTTTATATACACTCTTCTCTTATAACATACTAAGGCGTCTTTTAAAGATAAAACAATAATATACTAGAACTCCAAAACAAACAATACTTCAGATATGAGAGTTGATCCTAATAATGTTATCATAACAAACATGAGACCGATACACTGTCGTTTCTATATGAAACATGTATTTTTTATCATGTATTACATCTTTCATAAATTTACAATAATGCATAAGATAAATATTTCTTTTCTTATATATATCATATCTACGACGACCTAATCTATTATGATCTGATTTTATAGGTCAATAAAAAATTTTAATGCTTCAACCTAATCTATATTTTAAAATTAGTCAAAAATTTTAATTTAATTTGATTCTATGTTAGACCAATGAATTAAAGATGTAATTGTGACTTGATTGAAACTTAAAAAAAATAACATATCTATATAAAATCAGTTAATTAAAAAATTTATATTTTTAAAATTTAATTTTTATTAATAAAATTAGTTTTTATTTAAGATATAAAGATTTAATATATAAATTATAAAAAAATTCATATATTTAATCTTAAAATAAAAAAAATTATTTTTTATTATCATTATTTATTTTTTAATAATTTATTAATTTATAATAAAAAAGAATCTTAATAATTAAATCTCGTAATAAATAATTATTAAAATTTATTTTAATATTTATTATTAAAATAAGTAAATTATTTGTTAAATTAATTTATAATATAAATACATTTTTAATAAAATATTTTTATTTAAAAATAATTATTATCCTAAACTACTCATAAACATATGAAATCACCTAAGTCTATTTTACAGGCTTTTAATACGAATGAAACGATGAGTTAATAATTCGTGGCTGTTAAAAAGTGTTCATTGTTATGTATCCTCTTTTACAGGATTGTGAAACAAGAAACTGTCTTGAATGCCCTTTTAAAACGTGAAGATTTGTAATTAATTAATCCATTTGTATTTGTTGGAAATTTTCATTCATTCATGCACACACTACCAACTCTTCCTCTTTTTTCCTTCTCAGAAGCAGAGCCCCACTTACCAATTTATCACTCATATTTTCGCCGTACGTTGGCCTTATCTATGCGCACGCATCATCATCATCATCCCCAACCCTTTGTCTTTCTACTTACTCCTTCTGCAAATATGAGAACTTCGATATGAGCAAAGTTAGAAAATTTAATTTTACCTTTTTCAAAAAGAAAAATGTTTAAGGAAAAAATTATCTAAATATGCTTATAATATTTTGTAAATGAGTTACGATACAAGCACATAAGGGTTTATTATGATTATAACTAATTATCACCTATATATTTTTAATTACTTTATTAATATTAATTTCTAATCATTTATTATTATTATTATTATTATAACAATAAAGTACAAAATGTACACTTTTAATCAATTATAAATTATTTCCACAGTTAGTTATAATTATAAAAATACTTATTTCTTTCTAATTTTTATAATATATATATATATATATATATATAACAAAATCATTATGTGTGATCATTTACACAAAATAAAAAACTTGGACGAAATCTCGTTATACTATTTTACTTTATTGATTGAATTATATTTTTATTTTTAAAAATTTTTCCGTTTTAAAATTAAAAATGTTTTATTTTTTAAATAAAATAAAATTTAATTTCAACTTCAAAACAATAAATTTCTAAGGACTAAAACTAGTTTTAAGAAAATTATTTTAATTCTTAAAACTTAATATTTAACATAAGGAACCTATTATATTATCAAAATTAAATTATTATATTTAATTTTCTTTTAAATTGTTTCAAAACAGAATAATTTATTCTCTAAATACATGCATTCCGTGATAAAAAAAAAAAAAAGGAAATTGTTACCTAGAATACAAAAATTCACAAAATTTCCAAGAAGACAAGCTCTTTCTATTCTCTTGCTTAGTCTATTTTCACCCGCAAAATCATATGTTATAGTTATAATAATACACAAAATATATTAAATAAATTATTATTCATAAACAATCTTATCAAAGTATTTTCAACAATACATTTCAAACATAATCATAATCATTAGATAGCTATGTCTTACTCAACTCACTTACTAAAACACATTAGATGATTTGTGGGATCTTACATTGTATTTAAACTTGGAAATTTGTATTTGTCATATGGTCCTTAAGTTGCTTACCAATAAAGATATTTAAAGAAATATTGTACCTACTCATGTAACAACTTAAATTCCAAGAATCATATTTAATTTTGGTAAATACTCATTCTTGATTGAGTTAAAGGAATATCCATAAACTTTCACCACTTAATTTTTTTTTTATGTGAATGTAGTATCATTAGGTTCAAGATATTTCCTAATGAATCCATAATTCAATGCCTACATTACCCATCGTACATTACCGATCCTCATATAGTAACATCTTCTTAGTAATTATCATGTTACATCATATCACAACCTCAACACATCATTTCTAAATTATTAGTGTTCTTATTAAATTGGTAGATGTTGGTAAAAAGTGTGAGGTTAGATTCTAAAATACGACTTCAAGATGGCTGAAAGTAGATTCTTTTGAAAAAAGTAGAGACTCACCTACAAAAGACACCATGACGCTCAAGTTAACTTTTAGACAAAAGAACCAGGTATTTGCAAAAGTCACTCTTACACAAAAGACACTATGGTATACTCATTAATCTCACATTGTTTAGGAGTCAAGACCAAAGGTAGTTTATATACATCATTCTCTCTCAATCCATCAATACACCTTTTAAAAATAAAATCATGACAGATTAGAGTTTTAAAGAAGACAACACATCGAACATGGGATTTGATCCTAATGATATTATCGTTAGTAAACATGAGGTTGAGACACTCTCATTCCTAGATGAAATATTAACGCTCATCATGGGTCGGGAGTAGAGTCTCGCACCACTCATACCCTTTAGTCCTCTACTGGAGGTTGTATTCCAATATCCTCATAAGTTTCATATTGTTTAAAAGTCGAGACTAATGATAGTTTATATATACTATTTTCTCTCAACCCATTAAGATGCTTGCACTAGAATTCGAAAACGGATAATACCTCAAATATGAAAATTGACCCTAACGATACCACCATATCCAACATGAGTTCCGGACAATAATTTTCTTGAAGGGAATAATCAACGTTTACACAAACACATACCACAATCTTATTTTCTACATTTGCACACATTATATATATATATATATATATATATATATATACATACATATATATATATATATATATATATATATATATAATATCAATTACATATCATTTAATAGAATTATACAATCATCAAATCTTACAATTAAATTTAAAGCCTGAATAATATAATAGACCCATCAGAATCTATAATACAACTTCAATACCTAATCATATAATAAAGTAAATCTAAGAAGTAAAATAGGTAAAATATAATTAAGAAAATATTTAAATTTCTTTTAATATATATATACTTCTTAAGAGTGGTTTATTTTTTAAATGACATTTTTTCTATTATAACATTTATGTGATACCTCCTTGCTTGGACTACGGCATCACTCAGTTTAAAGAGGCTAACTTTTACTTGAATGAAATAAATGTTGTTGGAGAGAAAAAAAGTGTCGATCGACCGAAATTGTGTCAATTATTTCTCTTTC